GAGTTCTTTGACATATTTCTCGTAAACGCACGATTTCAGCGTAAAATCGAGTTTTTTGTACGAAATCGAGGTCTAAACCAAAATATCATAATTTCATCACAAAATTGACCTTTGGCACCTTTTAAAATGATTGAAATTGGCCCAAATTTTGGCAAACATGTTTTTTTACCAAACGTCATCGATTGCCGCCTGGGGAGCGGAACATTTCAGACTTTCATTTTTTTTGACGCACCCTAAGAGCACCCTCTATTCAATAAAAAGATTAGGCATACGTTTGGAAAGAATGCTCAGCTTGGGTTGTGTAGAGGAGTGAGTAGAGTTAATGTTAGTGATTGAGTGACTCGAACTATTACAATTTTTAGCAAAATACGAATCAAGAACAATCGATGGTGAATGCAGTCGTGGCACAAGTAGAGTCGATTCCTGATTATGGCAGTTGCTCTTTAAGTACCTTCTTTCATAGACTAAAAATGTTTCCGCTTCTATTCCCGAAATTCTCTGTCCAGCATATATATCAATTATCAGTAAATACTTTCTGGTAAATGGTCATCAACCCCACGTTTTATACAAAGTATTGGATAGTATCAGAGACAAGTAGAGACATTTAGTTAAAATGAACATATACGGGATAATTGTGGGGTGGATGCTTATCAGGGTACGTGTGAAAGAGTGAGCATCCCAGTTGAGGAAGGAATAGAAGTAAAAAAGGTTGAAGAGATCAAATGGAATAACGGTATTTATAAATGTGTGCAATTGTATCTTATCTACGGAACTTCTGAATGCCATGCCTCAGCATCAGGATCCATAGGAGCTCGTAAGTTCTTTCAAATACCACAAGTTAAGCTACTTAGCATGAAACCAGGCATTGCACTAAATGGCAATGTGAAAGAGCAAGTATGTATGTATTCTCTCTGATGTAGAAATCCCAAATAAGAAACTACTCTTGTATGTATTCCTACTTTCATTTCATCTTTCGTTCTTAGTTGCTTTCATTTCAAATGCTATGATTTGGCTACAGCTTTAAAAGAAGAAATTTATCATCATGTTGAAGGCATTCAGAGAGACTTTGACTAGCAATACAACTAATGAACTCCATATGTATAGAAGAAAATTCACAATGAAGACTGCTTAACTACATACTAATGAAATAAGGTTGTCTGACCTACAAAAAGCTACAATTTTTCATGGATTTCCCTAGCACCAGAAAATAATGAAATTGCCTTCTCTTAGTGTATTTTGTTATTCTATTTTGTGGTCTGATCCCTTTTTCCCGAGTTCCCTTCATCCCTTTTCCAAGCAAAATACATTGATGGTCATACTTCTTATCCTTATACAAATTCTGGGCCCAAACTTCTTTCCCCCGTGTGTTTCAGCTTCAGTCCAACCGTTGCTTTAAAATACAGAACTTTCTCTCTGTAACGAGAATTCAAGGAACCGGCGGATTTCCTCGATCTTGAGAGATTCTCGTTAAAGTGATAGTTGATATTTAATTTAGTTGATATTTAATTTAGGAAGTTCGAGGGACTGACCTATTCCCTCGTTACAGAGTCAATAACGTTAGTCGTTATAGAGAGAAAGGACTGTATATGTATAACAAGCTGTGGTCAGCAGCTCGGGCGGTTGGACTTTCTACTTTATTCTATTCTATTCCATATGTTTATTTATTGATTTATTTAATTATTTCAAATAGGCCTCCAAGAAGCAGAAACTATTTTTAATGTCATGGTGCCCAGATACTGCTAAGGTTAAGAAGAAGATGTTGTACTCCTCTAGCTTTGATGCCCTCAAAAAATCACTTGTCGGTGTTCAGAAATATATCCAGGTAATTGATTGTTTTCTTCTCAACATCTACCATTGAGTGACATGAAATACGAGGGGCGTTCAATAAGTAAGTATCCCCCCTCTCTGAAATCAATAGGAATGGACCAATTTTAAAAAACTTGGGCTCAAAATCTTTCTTAAGATATACTGAGTTCAACAAAACAAACCGCAACAAAATCGGACCATGTGCGGCCGAACGCGAGCCGTTTGAACGCGCCGAGATGCACGCCGCTCCCACTGGATCCGCGGAGATTTGAAGTCCGCAACATGAGAAGAGCATCTCTGCCAACGCTTCAGTCGTTCATCACTGAAAGTTTCAGAGAAAGAAAATCAAAGGAGTTTTTGTAGAATAAGGGGCTTACCTCACCTCTCCACATAACCAGCTCGATCCAAGCAGGTCTGATACTGACTGTGAGACTAAGAGAACAGCTTTTGGATACCACGCGTGTAGAAGTCTTTCAACTGGCTGGGGATGAAAGTGTTGACGGCTTGTCTTACCTCTTCCACTGCGAGTTCAGATTTTAGATACGGTAATAAATGGCAAAATAAAGCACCATTTATTCCCGTTTCTGAAATCTGAACTCGGGGGACATCATTTTGAATCAGTGGAAAAGGTAAAACAACTGTCAACTCTTTCATCCCTACTCAGTTGAAAGACTTCTATTACCAGCTCAACTACCAGATTCTTCAAAACAACGCAAATGAATACTCACTTTCGTGTGAATTCTCAAAATTGCGCATGCATTTTGGTAGCTCCACATTCTGCTTCACGGTTCCGCTAAGGATGCTGGCGTGTAGAGCAAGCAATATGAGTAATATTGACAATTTACATGCAAGTGACTACTAATGAACGTGGGCTTGAACTTTTCTTGTGCGGTTCTCTGTATTTATTTCATTTCAGATTCTTATAAAAATTGTTTTATTATAAATTGAGTATTTTTTTTATACTATCTCCCAATTATAAATGAACTAATTCATCGCAATTTAATTCCATTGAAATAAGAACTCCCTTTGGGTTCAGCTTCTTTCCTCCATTAGTAAGGCTTTTATTTCTAAGAGAATCTGCCTAAAAAGAAATCTGCCTAAAGTGACTAAAGGAGACAAGTTTTTCACTTTCTTTCACACCCCTGTATTCTGAATACAAAAATATGCCTCAATTTGAAAGGGCCCAGAATTATCATGGAATGCTCCCAAAAATGGATGTGAGTCCTCTATTTTTATACAGCATCGTAACAGGTTGTGAACTTAGCCCCAATTTTGTTGGCTATGGTTGACTGCAAGTTGCGAAAGCAATATCTAAATTCGACAATAAATCAGGAAAATCATATTAATAACCTAAGCTACAAGCAAGTTGATTTTTTTCTACAGCAGGCTTTCCTCAACGGCGCAAACCATGCACCAGCAATTGTGCCACAAAGTCGATATTCTTGCCTTAATTTGCGGCTGACCACAAATCTGCCAACAAAATTCAGACTCCAAGAGTGTTCTGCCTTCCCCAGGCACCAGCGTCCAATATGCCCTAAAACTAGACCTCGGACTCCAAGTTGGGGGACTGGGCCATTGTGGGCCCTCAAAATGTTGACGCACCCCTTTAATTTTTTCCAACTTGTTATCGCCAAGCGGCGGTAGTGCTCTCAGATTATCGTTCGCAGCTTAGTGAAACAGCTCAAGAACTAAAGAATTAAAAAAAAAAAAAAACTGAAATGAAACAGCGTAGCGTATGCAATAACTTAATGTGGCTCCTAAAAACTTACAAATGGCTCCTGCGAATTGGGCTTATTGGCCTATTTTAAGGGGAAGGCAGAACACAGGCCCTGAGTGTTTTGTTATCTATTTTATCAAATAATTTCCAATTTTTTCAATTGTTAAACTGAGGAACTAATTTGCTTTCCTTCCTCTTCATTCTCTCAACAGTATTCATGTTCTTTGCCAAGAAATTAAGAGAAACTTGAAACTACTGCTTTCAAATTCTAGTCTCCCTTCAAATTCTCATTCATTTGTTCTTTTGTTTTCTGATTTTAGGCAACAGACTTGTCAGAAGCATCACAGGAAGCAGTAGAAGAAAAGTTACGTTCCACCGATAGGCAATAAAAAACCTAAAAAAAGAACCAGAAGCAAATGATAATGGGTATTATATCCAATCGAAATTTTTTTAATTAAAGTGTAATTGTTTCTTTTTTTTCTTTTTTTTTCTCTGAAATATTTTTTTCAATTCTAAACTTCTATCTGCCTATTTTATGTCATAGACATGAAATTATGGCATTTATGCAGTTGTCAGCCTCTAGTCTATCTGACGCTTGTTCCGTCAGATTTACTTCACCATGTCAGCGGCATTGTAATGCTTACGCTTTTTACAGCAATGTGATGCGGCTGGCCTTTACCAGCACTACCAAGCTGAATGGATTATCTTTTAAAACTTTTGACAGTTAATGATTAACTTCATCTGGGAACTTGTATTATACCTAAGTGAAGCTATAACCTTTTTTCTCTCTCTTGTTTCCTCTTTATAGGGCATCAATTATTTTTATTACTATTTTTAATTTTATTTATTTATTTGATTATTTTTAAGTGTAATTTTACAGCTGTATTAAGTAATGTAAATTATCTTGAAAACCAAATATTAATTATTTAACCTACAAAAAAAAGAAGAAAGAAAATAAACAATTTTTTTAATTTGTTCGTTGCCTCAAAGTTCCTCGTATTTTTGTTCTGAAGTCAAATTACTTAAAAGAGGGGGAAAAAAGAACACTTAACATCAACATAATCATGCTAACAGTGAATGCAAACTGTCAGACAGAATGGTACCATATCATTCAATGCAAGCGCGAATTTACTGGTTAGTAATTTTAATATACTTTTATCCAATTATTTTGCTCATTTCCCTCAGCTTATACTTATTCTTTTTATAATATTTTTATATGCTACTTTTTCTCTCCTATCATTTTTTTCTTTACTTATCTCAAAGGTATTTTTATATAACCAGAACAAAACTCTTTAATCACTTTATTTATCTATTTTTTTACCAGGTATTAGAATCGTGATTTCAGTAATACCTATTTTTTAAACTGCTATTTGAATAAGAATCTGCCATAGTGAAAAGCCTGATCAATGGCTGTACTTTGAAGTATTGTTTGATTTCTTTATTTAATTTTTTATTTATTTATTTTTTTTCAATTTTCTAATATAATACTGTATTGCTGTAATTTGAATGGTATGATATGTCCTTGCTTAGTAATAAATGGAATATTTATATTACATTTCTCGTTTTTTTTCTTTTTTTTTTTTTCTTTTTTTTGCCAAGTTACATCTGAGGATTGAGATGTTGATGGAGAATCTCACCAGAATAAGCTTTCTCTTCAATTCCTCTAAAAAACCAGCAGTTTTCCGACTTCATGGGGCACCATGTGGAAAATGCACCAAAAATGAGGCTTTAGAGCCTAACAACTTCGTGCTCTGGTTAAAAGCTGGGTCTCAGATAGTAAGTCACATCCAGCCACAAAGTGCGCCATCATAGGTAATACTGAGATTAACAAAAAAGTATGGTGGGTGCGATCAAAATCAACGATTTTTTTATTGGAAATTCCCACCTCGGGAAGTCATACTACGTTCAAAAATAGTAGTTTTTGTCGTAGAACCACTTTCAAATTCGTGCAGTATCAAAGATGGCGGCCAAGCGTTTTTTTGAAGTAGCATATCTCTGCCCCTAATTTTTCAATTTTGATGTTCTTTTTTTTAATGAGAGCTGAAAGGGTACTAAGTAATTTAAAAGTTAGGATTAAATTATAAAATAACCAACAATTTTTCCTGAATTGTAAAAAAAATGTTTGGGTGATTCCCAAAATTTCAAAGCAAAGTAACTTAACTCAGTAGGAAAATTGATTTTTTTCTCTTCTGCAACAGAGATAGGCGTTAATCTCGCGTTTAATTTGATACCATAACCATGTTTGTGCTACGAGTAGTGAACCTGCGAGAGCCATTTAAGTGTCGCGCGGTCGGCCGCGGCGCGCGATTTCCACTCCGTGCCAGTGTTCCAACTTCACCTCCAAGTTTTAGGAGCCGTTTGGCCCATCAAGTTCAATTTTTAGGGGCCATTGAAGATTTTTTAGGGGCCAAATTGAATTTTTGCCTATATATCACGGCGCATTTAGTGAAAAGTTATACGCAAGATATACAGTTACAGGACTTGCAAGTTGCAGCTCGCAGCCATTACTTGGGAAAGGGGAAGACCAAAGGAATGATATTCCGATTTAAAACAGGAGCTTTTAGTTTACTTAAAGTTTGTTCAATTAAATTATGCTTTTTCTGACTTCCTATTATGAAAAGTAGTAGAACGATTCTACAGTATGTACGATAAGTAGTACGATTCTCGATCTGCTGAGCCGCTGCCGCGACGAAGTTCCGCGCGCAACTGCTTGCTATGCGCGTTCAGTCCAGGCTGACTGACAAAAATTTTGAAATCATCAAACCGTAATTTAGGATTGCGACAATTTTTTAGGGGCCACGTTTGGCGCAGGGTCTTCATTTTTTAGGGGCCATGGCCGATTTTTTAGGAGCATTTGGC